CCCCCAGCCCAGGCCCCTGCCTTCCTGGTCTAAGCCTCCGAAGCCACACCCGTCTCCCCAAGCGGACAAGGCCACCTGCTTGGTCCCCAGAGCTGCCCCTCCCCAGGGACAGCGTCAGGGGCCCCGCGCAGCCATGGCCCGCCCTGTGCTGCGGGGCTGAGCGGGACTCAGGCGGCAGGAAGCCGGCTCTGCCTGGCACAGGCTGGGGGCAGCCCCGGGGTCCCCGAGGTCAGTGCAGAACCCGCTGGTCTCCCCGACTTGCTGAGGGTGCTCCCTGCCCCCTTGCGGCCCAACTGCCTCGCGGGAACCTCTGAGCTGGGACCTGAGTGCGGCCTGTAAGTGCAGAGCCCTCGCACCCAGGCCCGGCCAGCAGCGGGGGGAGGACCGAGCCGCGCCCAGGGACGAGGACTCTCCCCTCACGGGGCTCAGGGCCCCGGGGCTCAGAGAACCCGACAGAATACGAGATGTTTTTAAGGCGCCTCTCCAATCCCAAGAACTGGGGATGCGCGCCCCTCGCAGGGCCACAGGCAGAGGGACGGCCTGGTGGGGACAGATACGCCCTCCAGCGGTGACCGGGGCTGCCAGGGAGGGGGTGCCCACGGGAGCCCTGAGGGCAGGACCTGGGCAATGGAGGCGGCATCACCCCAGGGGACAGAACCTGAAGCCAGTGGTGCCAGGGTGGGGGTGGGATTTTCACCCCAACATGGAGGGAGGCACACAGGATGGGGACCCCTCTAAAAACGAGGGGGGAGAGATGAGCGAGGCCTGATGTTTGAGGGCACCACGGCACCCTCACCCCACGGTCAGGCAGGTCAGTCCGCCACCCGCTCTGTGTGACCTCGGGGAGCCCTTCTGCTGCCCTGGCCTGGCTTCCCGGCTCGGGGTGAACTGCCCCCCCCACCCCCCAGCGCACGGGCAGCAGCGGGCACTCACCGGTATGTGCTGCAGACTCGGTGCCCGCCGCAGGTGGTGAGGAAGGGCTGGTACACGCGCTGCACGAAGGACTCGGTCACGGGGCCCTGGGGAACCCCAACGGCACACACCCGGCGGCTGGAAGGGGGGCGGGGGGTGAGTCAGCAGGGGCTCTCGGAGCCGGACCCTCCCAGCTCTGGGACCCCAAGAACCTGG